ATTCGTGCTAAAAATTACAACATATAAAAACTATCCATCAAAGTTTGCCTTGTACTGTACTCACCGAATTGAAGATTCATGCGACTTTTGAAGATCGACAGATTAACTTCGAAATGGTAAAAAAAACAAAAAATAAAAAGAAACATAAAATAAAGAACCACACCATATTTCAACAGAAAAGTTTCAGTTACAGCAAAGAGCAGCCAACTAAATTTCCCGCTCTTGAAATGTCTACTATACATCTATATCATTTATACATTAAATTCCTGTGTAGAATATGTTGAAGAATCTATAAAATATACACTATTTTCCAAAGAAGTTTATTTTATTTAATAAATTGATCAATTAATATAAATATTTTATATCATTATGTTATGGCAAGCGATGTTGGCGGCATTTTTCAGTTGTAATGGGAAGATATTCAAATGTTATCTCAGGTTCAATAGCCCATCCAACTAATGTATCAATTTATCTATTTGGGCTATAGATAATAAATTGTTTTGGTTAATTATAAAAATTTACATGTCCATTCCTAGCAGAATAACACAATTTTGAATTATATTACTCAGTGTATATCCTTTCTATCTTAATAACCGTGAGTTAATATGCTGTTTTACTTGTCATTGTAATGTATAAACTCTACTTAATATGTTATTTACCTATATTTATTCAATCATCTATTGTTCATTGTAACAATATCTTATTATGTACAATTTCAAAGATTATGGGCTTTGATATGGTTAATTCCTTATACTGTTTTTTTTAATTCAGCCATATTTTCTAGATTTCCTTAATTTGATAAATGGATATTAATCAATAGATACATGTGGTAATAATAATAATAATACCCCTGCATGTGTTAAGAGAGGTTCAGCAAGCGGTTCTCTTGGATACAGCCAGAATTACGAGAAAGTTTTTAAATATCTAAAAAAACAATTATAACTGCAGGTGTTTGGACTTGTCCCCCACCTTCAGCTTTGAATCTGCAAAAGTGAGAATAAAAAAGATAATAATATGCCTTATTGACAAAGGCCTCTCCCTAAGGAGGAATTTTAACGGAGTTAGCTACATAAAAATATGTTTAAATTATTACAATATTTTTTTTTAATGAGTTAATCAGGGGGTGCGGTCAAATAAATACTAAATTAAAATATAGTAATTATTTAATTTTTGCAACATACGCAAAAATAGGTGGTTGGTGGCAAATAGGCAAAAATTAAATAATTACTATATTTTAATTTAGTATTTATTTGACCGCACCCCCTGATTAACTCCTTCTCAATTTTTTTTTTTTTTTAATGTTTAAAATAAAACAAAACTGATATATATTTTTTTTTTGTAAAATAGCCATGTTAGGGCTAAGAAAAACAAAGCCATAAAGTAAACATAACAGTATTGGAAGCACTCGGTTAATAAAATACAAACCACCAGTTATTGCCTACATGTATCATTTTATTCCTCCACCTCAGATGTGGCCGACTTCTTTTCCTGTTGTTCTCTCTTGGGATCCACTCGGTACATGCTTTGGACCATCTTTCATCCTTCAATCTCGCCATGTGTCCAGCCCATTCCACTTTAACAGATGAGCTTCAGCCCTTAAGTCTTTAATATCCGCTTTTCGGAGAATGTCTTTATTTCTTGTTTTTTCTCTCTTCTTGATTGACATTAAATTCCTTAAAAGCTTCATCTGAATAATGTTCAATCTGAGTTCAAGTTTCCTAGCCAATGTCCAAGTTTGTGCACCGTAGAGAATCGTAGGATAAACACAAGTTGTCAAAACTTTGGCTTTAATATTTATTATAATATATAATATTATTATTATTTTAATATTAGCTTCTCCCTGAGGAAGATCTCGTGTCCTGCTGTGACAATAGATAATAAGCCAGTTCCCTCAAAAACACATGTACGGTATCTTGGACTCTACTTGGACAAAACCTCACCTGGAACATTCACACTAAATTAAAAAAACAAGAACTGACCAGACGATGCAAACAACTATCACATCTTTTGGACTACATATCTCCACTCAACTTACTAAATAAGTGACCAATCTACACCACTATACCAAGACCTATTTGGACATACGGAGCAGAACTTTGGGGTTCCGCAAAACACCACACATAAACAAAATTCAAAACACACAATCCAAAATACTTCATAAAATCGTCAATGCTCCATGGTTTATTTCAAATCACACCATACACACAGACATGTACATACCAAAAGTAAAATCCTACATACACAACAAGTACACAACATTTCATTCTTCTACTCTCAACCATCCAAATCCACTCCTATCTCTATATTCCTCTCTGTTACCTGGTGAGCCTCAAAGATGACTAAAAAGGCAGTGGCCTAGAGATCTTCTGCTGAAAAGTTAAAAATATCAAGAATTGAAGAATACAGAATAAACTTCAACACATTTGCTTGATGCACTACAATGCAGTGGCAAATTTAAAGAAAAATAAATAATAATATTTATCACTCTATTCCTTTTAAAAATCGTTTTGAGGGACCAATATTTGTATCATCCAAGCTTTATCCTTCTGTTGATCTCTTTACTTAAGTATCTCTCCATTTAGTTACCATGTATATTAACCAAGTTATTTACCAATGGTCTGAAAACCTCAAACTATACCTATTCTTCCTATTATAATTTCATCTTCCGATAACAAAAGAAAATCTTATAACTTCTTGTTTAAAATAATAATTTTACTAGTAAACAAGAATAAAAATGATCCAACAGTTCCTACCACAAATTGAATAAAGAATTTTTAATCTGTATTAATAACCAAATACTACAAACCCTTTTACAGACTCCTGCTTTATTAAGGTAAGTGGTAAAGTTTGAGTCATCTCAATTCACAGAAACAATCCAGACATGTAACTTTTTCATTGATATTCAAGATTTTAAAATTTACATGTTTCTAGGAGGCATAAAATTGTCTCCCGTTGAAGAAATGAATTTAGACAAGCTTTTTTGATCTTCTAATCCAGATATTATAGCTGTATATTAGATTTCAATAAGTGGCTATTAATCTATTATTAAAATTCTTATCAATAATGAATTTGGATTGGAAAAACTTTAAAAACATGCAGAATATTTGATATTCCAAAAAAAATGTGTTTAATAATACTTAGTACCAGTTTCATTCTATATGTTTTTTGTGCTATGATAAGCAACAATTTTCTATTATCATTGTTGACATGGGTAAGGGGGAGTATAAAGTTTTTTTACATGTAAAGAGAAAAAAAAATTATCGAGGAATATACAATTTGGTTTCTAAAAAAAAAACTTGTGAAGAAAATTCTCGAACCTAAAACCTATCTATCTTCAAAAGAATACAACTGTAAGTTGCAGACATAAAAAATCTAAATTGTGACTACAACCACAGAGAGAGGGGCTTTCGGGCTGAAGCTTCGCCCCTCCACCCAAATAGCAAAATATAACCATATCTTATTAAAAAATTATCTCTAAAAGTATTATAGTTCATATAATTACATTTAACTAGTTGACCCGTGCGAAAAATTCACAGAAAATTTTGTTTAGTAAAGATATAGCAAAACATTATGGAAATAAGTAGTTCCTATGTATTATGTAAGGAAGGATTTAATATTTTTTCTTTAGAAGATTACAGTATTTTATTACACGTAATAGACCAAAATATTTGTACAAATAAAAACAAAATAATGCCCATCATGGGATTTTATAAATTATTAAAAAAAATAAAATGTAAGAACGAACAAGTGCCTTTGAGAAATAATAAAGTTAATATATCAGCCAGAAAAAAAAGTGTAGTAGACTATTCTACTCCTAAATGTAATATCTTTAAAGAGGAGGACATTATTTATTAAGTATACCAAAACTAATGGACTATATCTTTGTAAATAATTGTACAATTTTTTGTTTGTTTTGTTTTGTAGGTAATTTAGTAATCTTTCTACTATGGGTACAATCAAGAAAAGCATACTTTTTGAGTTATTCACAAATAAAGTTTCTTTTTTTCCAGGAATTTCGGGGGGATGGGACAATTTTTTGCATGTGAAGGAGAAGAATAACTTCAAAATGAGTAGTCAATCATTGGATTTGATGAAGAATTGACCAACTTAAACACCATTTCGTATAGGTTGTCATTTTCTTTCTTTTTGTTCCAAAGTAAAAATCGTTTATATATATATATATATATATATATATATATATATATATATATATATATATATATATAAAAAAGCTTTCGGGCTGAAGTCCCCTCCCCCCAATTAAATCTTGGTTTCCTACTAGTGACTGCAACCCATGACAGTTTGGGCTGTAAGATGGGGACATTAAAAACCTTCAAAACTGCATCATAATACTGCAGCAATATTACTATTAAAACATTAACAGTATTATGGCATTGTGAGGTGGGGGGGCCAAGTGGATTAACGCCTGTGCACAGCACCACCGTTGCACGGCAACCCAATCAATGATATAAATTGATAAAATAAGTACGAGTTCGTGTCCCAGTGCCCAGGAAGATTCTAACTCTGGCATTAATCCCCCACCCTTACCCTCTGGTCCAGGAAAAACCCCTAAAAGGCGAGGAAGGAGAGGACATTAGTAATCTCATGGTATTAGGTTAATTTAAATTTAAGCTTATAAAATGAAATAAAGAAAAAAGTAAAAATATAACATGGGCCTTTTTCCCTTATTTTTTTTAAGTGGCATAGATAGTCCTTTTGAAAAAAAAAAAAAATGATAATTGGAAAATTTAGATATGAACAACCTTTTTTTCATATTTATTATTTATTAAGTAATCCAGAGAGTTTTAGCTTTTAAACATTTTAATAGCTATTTTAACTTTCAAATATTTCCATATATCAAAAAAATGAATTTACATCATTTTAAAAATAACTCTATTATTACATATAAAAATAAGCTCTTCTTAATATATTTTTTTCTTTTTTTTTCAGGAGAGGTAATGTTATTAATAAAACATATAAATATCAATAACACTCAAACATAAAATAAAAAGGCTTTATTAAAAATATGACTATTCATTCTTAACAATGACAATTACATTAGATAAGAAAATATGCACAACCTTGTCAAGTGGTTATTGGCCGCATCAGCCATCACAAATAATTTATTGTTATACGAAGTTACTTAGTTTTTAAACCATCAAAAAATACATTTTAAAAGAATTTTTTGTGAAAGATCACATCGATCTGATAAGAGAACATTATTAGCAGCAAAACAATAAATTTGTAAATATAAAGATAGGATTTATAATCAACTAAATAGAAATATTTTTTTTTTTAAAAAGAAAACAAAAGTATAAGAATCGAAAAACTAACAAATCTTGATTTCAAATGAAACAGATCAAAGACATTCAATAGGATCGTGTCTTCTGATATCAATTGAGGCTTTTCATTTGCCATTATCAAGCAATAATTTTTTTCCACCATAATTTAGTTTTTTAATGTTTAATTATACAAACAATAAAGATTGAAAAATTGTATCAAATATATGCGCCAAAGTTAGGTAACATTTCAGAATCAAACAAGAAAAGTATCCTTCAATCCAAACGTTTTTTTAAGAGGAGCTAAGCTATTGAATAAATATTCGAATAACCATTTAACTAGATTATATAATAATTAAATAACTTCAACTCCTTAAAACAAAAAAATAAGAAAAGGTAGAGAGAGAAATTATAACAAATTTTTTGTGCAGTACTTAACAACTTTTTAGTTAACTAAAAATTATTCACACTTTGTATAAAAAATTTTAAATTGAAGTAGCAGACATATTTATAAAAAATATAATAACTTTTCAAGAATTAAACACCAATATTTCTTTCAATTGTGCAAGATCGCAACAAAACGTCAGTCTTGTTTCACCATTCACATATATACACATTTACTTTTTAGTTGCTTTAAAATCCATTATATATCATATATATGAGCCAATCACAACAGAATAAAGAAAAGAAAATTAGCAAAATATAATGTATAGTGAATTTTAAAAACAACAGTTTCTTTGGCCTGTTTTCAACGAAGGACTAACCACTCTGTGGTTTATGTTTACATAGAACAAAATTATGTTCCTTTTCATTCTTTAAACGAACGAAGTATGAATACTAACAATTATATCTAACATATTTACAATTCACAGAGGTCTGTGGTAACTGACTCAAATTTACAAATCTACAGTTACAATAACTAACGAAAAAGAAAACAGAGACACTCTATTAAAATTATCACAATTAATAACATATAAATACTTAACAATTATGCCCTATCGACTAAATAAGAAAGAACAAAGAAAATATTTGTCTAATACATATGCCATGTCTGTACACATATAAAAAAAATATATAACAAAATTAAATATTTATCAACAATAAAATAAGGAATGTTTTGGAGATAGAGAGGCAGTTAGATTATATTAGACTAAATTTTGAGATGAAGTTCAAAGACGGTTTCTGAAGAGTTCAACTTTTCCAATAATTGTAACCAACATTTCTTCGCTTTCATATTTAGGATTGAGATAATAAACCTTTGTACCGTCTTGTATGTGGCATTCGAGGACAGACCACTTTTCAAGAAGTTTCATACAGTTCTTGATTGTGTCTGTTGATAAGCTTTCAGCTGTAAGTGAAGATATAATTATATAGCTTAGCTAAGCATATCAAAATACTAGACAATAATAATAGAATATTGGATAATAATAATTATTATTAGATCACATTTGGAACTTTCGCTGCGTAAACCTCCCAGATAGTTTTTTATATTTTTGCTCTTCACGACTTTCAACTGGAAGTAATATATTAAGGCATTTGCTAACTAGGAGATCAGAAATTGTGAACAAGAAAATTATAAACTTATTTGAACCCGGAGTATGAATGCTTAACAGAGAGAAGGGGATGGCCAAGCATGTTGGGGTGTGGGTCCTGGAGTGCCCGGTTCAGAATGTTGTGGGTTCGATTTCCACCTGGGTCAGTTAATTTTCATTTCTTAGCGGCCCCGGGAAATTAATCATGACATCCCCACTATGGTTAGTATCTGACAGCAATCTCAAGGTAGCTGTCAATATCAGTACTAACACTGTTAAACAGGTAAATTAACTGAGAGCTCAAAAACAAAATTTGACAAAGTATGAAAATATGATAGTATGGAGTTAATTCATCATAAGGGAGTAACCAACGCAAAACTAAAACTGTTCAATTATTACAATTACTGTACAACTTACTATACAAATTACTATAACTGTACAATTACAATTATTACAATTAAATGTGTATTCCCTTTAAATTTAAATAGTAAATTTCTTAAAGGTAATAAAAGATTGAAAATTTTTGTTCTAATCAACTGTAGTTTTTTTTTTTTTTTTTTTCATTATTTTAATGGAATTTACAACTGTATTACATAGAAAATACAATAAGTAAATGTGAAATTGGTAACATGACATGTACATGAAGAGAAACTACCCATTGGTAGAACTCAAATTAAAATTCTATATTAGAAGATCCCGAGGCCATCTTCTTTTCAGACGCCTTGGAGGGTTATCAGGGATCGAGGAGGAAGCAAGGTTTGAAACGAGAGGATTCGGATGGTTCTGCAGTTTGTTATGGAAGGATAGGTATCTGGATTGGGCCAAATCGGAAACATATGGAACATTAAGGTCTTTATGGATGAGTTTATTTGTGACAAAGTAAGGAGCGTTGAGGATTTTATGAAGGATTTTGGATTGTAAGGATTGGATACAATAGGAATTCGATGATTTAGTGGAGCCCCAAAGCTCAATTCTGTATGTCCAAATAGGTCTCATTATTGTCATATATATGAGTCCTTTATAATATATTGAAAGCTTAGATCGTTTGTCTAGTAAGTGCTGCAGTAGTTGAAAACGTTGGGCGGTTTCTAGTCGTTTCAGTCTGGTATGGGGTTCCAAGTGAGTTGTTTGTCAAGGTGGAGTCCTAAGTATCGGATTTGTTCGACAGGGACAAGAGGGCTATTGTTGAAGGATACTGTAGGACAGGAAGTCATAGGTTTACAACGAAGAGTGAAGGTAATTTGATGGGATTTATTGGAATTTATTTTAATCCTCCAGTTTTGACACCATTTTTCAAGACATGTGATGTGTGATTGAAGAGTTTGGGGTGCAATAGATGGATCGTTATTAACTGATAGGACACACGTGTCATCGGCATAGGTGGTGATGACAGTGTTGGAAACTGTAGTTTTAAAAATATTTTTCAATATAAAAGTTTTTACACAAACATAAAATATATTTGCATGTATCATTTGTGGCATTTTTCACAGATAATCTTGTATCTCCTTATATAATATATAAGGTAATATTAAATTTTTTTTACTCTAAAAGATGTTACTGTATTTTTTATGAATTTAAGATACAAAGAAAACTATGCAATACTTGTACATACCATAGCGTATGCTACCGTTATCTAGGCCAGCCTTGACAGTTGCAAGCAACTCTTTGACTAATATCTGTTCAGGCATTACTTGGTCCATCATGCATAGCAAATAGGAGAAAACTGTACAATAGGTATCAATCAGAGGCTCCAGTAATCTTCCATAAAATAATAGTTTCTCTTCTTCCAGGTTGACCTAAAAAGAAAACAGAAACAAAGATTTACATAAAGTAAACATTCTCAGGTCTACTCGAGGCCGCGGTGCAATTAATGTTGGAACAAAAAAAACATTCTCTTATCAATCATTATCGCGGCATTATAGATGCTTAGAAATTACCTAAGGAGATAAAAAAAAAAAAAAAACTTAGCCATTACAACCCGATGGTCACCTAAAAGATAGAGAACCAGCAATATCGGTTCATCATTGATAGTCCACTCCATAAAATATTATAAATAATTTATTCCAATGATTACAACAAATAGCCTAGAGATTAATTAAGTTTTAACATCACCACAAAAATTATATTTCTATTTTCTTCAATATAACTTTTAATTTTCATATACATGAATTAACTATTTCATTTTTTTTTTTCTCCTTCCATTATGAAAATATGTTAACAGATTTTTAAACAAAACTTATAAAACAATAACTAGAAGAATAAAAATATTATTTACCTTATAAAACGTATCGGGAGGGATAAAATCCTCATCTTCATCATCAATTATTTCTAAATTCCTCGGACAACCATAGCCTAATCTACCACTTCGATGGCTCTGAAACAAAAAAAAAAAATAATGCACATTTCATTAAAAAAACAAAAAACGCTGTGGGCTTAAGACCACATGATAGAAGTGGAAACATCAACAACGCAGAATTAATAATGTGAAATAAATGTTTTACTCCTTAATTATCCAAATATTTAAAAACAATCATCATTTGGTTTTTGCTACTATCTGTTTCTCTTTTTGCCTCTCTAACAAGATGTCATATAAAGATACAATTTTTAATAATAGCTCATTACAAACAAAATGAAATGCTGAACACTTCTATTGCTTACAGTATGCAGGTCCGATATTTAGTTTCTGAGATATTTTAATCCAAATTTTCAAAAAAACACGTTACCATTTGGTTATTGACACTATGCTTTTCCCTTTTTGCCTCTCAAAAACGATGTTTCCTCAAGATACAATTTTGAATAATAACTAATTACAAAGAGAATGAAATTCTGAACATTTCTCTGGCTTACAGTATGCAGATCCGAATTTTAGTTTCTGAAATATTTTAATCCAAATGCAAAACTTAGTCAACTCAAGCAGACTTTACCCGAATGAGCGTTACATAGATGAGCGTGATGGCTTAATCTCATTATTATTATTATTATTATTACCCAAAAAATTAAGTGTTAACCGCCTCTGAAGAAGTTTTCAATTAAGAAAGTAGGAACTTTGCTGCACTTTAATGTTTGGTTTTTTCGATGCTTGAAAACAGAATATATTATCAAAATATGAAGATGTATACCTAGGAGTAACCTTTGACCAGAACCTCTCCTGGAATAACCATATCTCTCAGATTATCCGAAAATCCATAACTGCCCTAAAACAACTCCTAAGATTCCGTGATTGTATTCCTCTAAAAACCAGACAGCTCTTTGTAACCTCCCTTGTATTCCCCCACTTCGACTACGGCTGTTTGGTGTATGGAGGGCTATCTGCCAGGCTGGAAATGAGACTAAAGAGACTCATAAATTGTTTCATAAGATTCATAATTGGTAATTGGTTGACTGTCGTGGATAATGAAGAGAAGAATAGTTGGGGTGGTCAGTCAAAAAGGAAGGCAAAAAATAAATGATGAAGAAATTTTCTTCCCTCCTTCCTTTCATTCCTTTTCTCTGTTTTTAACTCTTTATTATATTATACATTGTCTGTACATCTCGATAGACTTTACAATATCTCAATTTTCTATCTAACTACTCCATTCTCAATGTTTTAATTTTACTATTTATTTTCATTTCCTATATAACTTCATATTTCTTTTTTTATGTTTTACATTTTATTCTAAGATTCCCATTGTAACACTTATGTCACCCTTTTTGATTATGCCTACTTCATCATTCCACACTCTGTAACGGTCATTATTCTAACAATGTCATTTTACTTTATATTTATTTATTTTATTTTTTTAATTTTTTTTTTATTTTTTAATATTTTTTTTTTACCATCACTACTTATGTTTCTCATACCTTGTTATCTGGTTATTTTCTTAGCCCTGATGAAGGCCCGAACTTCAGGTCGAAACGTCAGTATATGTAAAAAATAAATATTATCATTTATTTTTTGCCTTCCTTTTTGACTGACCACCCCAACTATTCTTCTCTTCATGTTTCATAAGATACATTTTCGGGATCCCCAGGCGTTCACATGTTTCACTATGGTACACCGAGTTGAAGTGGCTTTATCCTACTTCCCGACGACAATTCCTCCTTGGTGTTTTCCTTTTCCAAGTCTTCAGAACCAAAAACCCTCCCTACATCCTGAAACTCGTTATACTCTACACTCCTCTATCCACTCTCTCAATACTAGGTCTCAACCTATAGACTTATATATTCCCTCCCATAAAACTTCCTCCTTCAGCAAATCCTTCGTCATTCGTGCTGCTTCCTAATGGAACTCACTTCCTACCTCCATGCGTCAATCCTCATCCACAAATTCCTTCAAACAACTCCTGTTCCAACACCTACTCCACATTCAAACTTCCCCTACCATGTAAAATTACTTGCATCTATACAATGTTTAATTTCAATCCATTGCACAATTGAAATAACAATTAACAGTAAATTAGTTTGTATTTTTATTATGTTAGACTAAGATCCATAAATTTGTAACTCTGTTATTATTCTTAGGGGACAGTAGTCCCAGAATAAAATTATTTTTTCATATATAGAAATAGAGTTTAGGAGAAAAGGAGAACTGGATGTAAATGGAAACTCTGAAAGAATAAATCCATGTTTAAACCTCAAAAGAATAAACATTGTAGTTAGAAATTATAACAAGCAGATGAATAATTTATTAGATGAATAACTTAAGGAGGTACTAAGATAAATTATCCTAAATCACAAATTGGGTACCATAACTCAAGTTTAACAGGAAAGGATAAAATTAACAATACATTAATAGTTAGTACTTACTGCAACCTCGGTTAGGATTTCATGCATAGTCATTTCTTCTATTGCATCAAACACAGCATTATTTAACTGCTGGCAAGTTTTAGTAAATATAAATTCAAATTGTAATATTTCGCAAAGCAAGATGGACACATCAACTACTTTTTCTATCGCTACTTTGGCATCCCTCTGGTCAGCAGTTAAACTCAACAGAACTCGTCCTAGATTAAAAAAGATTTTGGTAATTGATTGATATAACATAATTTACTTTATTATTTAGATTTTTTATAAAAGAAATTTTCACCCACCAACTACTCCTTTGAGACAGAAATGAGAAACAAGAGTGTTGCTGTAATAATTCAGCTCTAAGACATTAGGAAGCATAGAAACGGGTTTATAGTAAACATCTTCATCCTTCTTGTCTACCTCGACCAGTCCGGGTCCAAGAAGCGAGACCTATAAAATAGAAGAGAAAATAAATATTGAATTAAGTTAATTTGTTAACAGCCAATTATCATTTCAATAATTCCTTCACATTCAAACTGAATGTGTCATTATAAATATAAAATGTCTGCACAGTTTGAAATTGTGGAGTTGAAGCTCTTCATTATTATTATTATTGGGTTAATTGTTAAATAGTTATTGGAATAGAAGCTACAGGTTTACTACTATATCCTTAAATATTTTATTTTTTTGTGAACACATTCTCTTCCATAAAAAAATATTATTTTTACATTATATTACATTCTTAAGATGAATGAATGAAAATGAATCGACTATCTTGAGGAAGGCAAAACTATTTTATTAATTATTAATACATAGCATAAAATTGGACATAAAAATTAAATTTGCGATCTGCAAATTTCTTTGCAATGAGCAAATTTTTTGGCAGCTTCACAGCGTTCCATTACAATCCAGGAAATAGTACTGTTCAGCAGGTCTCTTGGTCACCGCCTACGTAATCGTCGAGGTGGGCTGTACGGGTTTCTAGTGCTTTTAAGTTTTTCTGTCAGAGGATTTGTGTTGTAAGTTAGTCTTTGGTGAAAGTTACTGTAGTTTTCTTTTTTAGTGTCTAAAATTGTTGGGATGTTCAAGTCTTTATATGTAATCTATCGTTTGCGACATAAAATGGTGCGTCAACCATTCTTCATAAAATTTTGGATTGGAAAGACTGGATTTTTTTAATATTAGAACTTTTAGCAGAACCCCACAGTTCTATGATATAAGTCCAAATTGGTTTTAGTAAAACTTTATAGAGTATTAGTTTGTTAGTCAAAGATAATTTTGAACGTCTGTCAAGTAACCTAGATAAAAGACCGTATTGTCTGTTTAATTCCATACATTTTTGTATAATGTGTGTCCTCCAAGTTAGTCTTTTGTCGAGGTAAAAACTCAAATATTTAATTACATCGGATGCAGGAATTTCAATGTTATTAAAATATATTTCGGGGGAAGGGGTTGATTAAGAGTGAATACTACGTACACAATTTTTTTTTCATTCAAAACTATTAATAGTGAATATTACATTTCTAAAAAAAAAATTATTTTATTTTTTTTATTTTTTTTTATTAGAGAGGACACTTATTGAGGGATGGATGTGCTAAACTGAACAATAAGATACGAAAAAGATAAAGTATAATTAATAAATTCTACAAAAAAAACAATGATACAACAAAAATTAATATAAAAAATTATGAAAATGAGACAGTTAATAAATAATAGTTTATGGGTGATAAATATCTAGGACTATAGCTATATAGCTCGCCAGTGAAAGACTAGAAGTCGCGGCTCGAACCTTACATGTTTTTACCATATGTTGATAATGGACTTTTTAACTTGTTTTACGATTTTTATAGTAGAGTAAACTGTTCTACATGATGTTTGTTAGTGGTATTACACCTTTGGCGGTACCTTGAATTATAGTTTTAACTGAAACGGAGTTCAGTTTCTTGTTGTTCTGCACCTATTGTTCCTCCCTTGTTATTGAGATTCTTTCCACCCCAAAAAAAATTAAAAGGAAAAAATAGTTTGGGTAGGTGAAACATATTGCCAACATACAATTCTTTATAAAATTCGGGGGAAGGAAGGGAATGAAGGAGGAGAGTTAATCCCCCTTCCTCCACAAAAAAAAAAGTTAAAAAAAGTAAAACCCACTTACCCAAACACATTGCCATTTTATAAAAAAAAAAATTACAGAGGGGGGTTAATCCCATCTCCCCCCCAAAAAAGTTAAAGAAAGTAACACCTACATACCCAATCATATTGCTATTTCAGCTTTTAAAAAAATGGGGGGGAGGGGTTTAAACCACCCCTCATCCTCCCCTTCCCAAAAAATAATAGTAAAATGAAGTATCACCCACCTACTCGTAACATAATGACAAGAGGGGCACTGAAAATTTCGGAAATATATTCACATTGTTGTTTAAGTGGGGTAGCTCAGTGGTAGGGTATGGAGCTTCCAATGCTAAAGGTCCCAGGTTCGAACCCCGGCTCATGGCAGGAAATTTCATTGGACGTGGAGCGACCCTGAGGAGGTAGACCCTCCTGGGGCACACCCAGCCTCTATAAAGTGGGTACCCTTAATTAAAAAAATTAATTAAGGGGTAAAACCTGGCGGTTGAGCGTGATATTGGTCAAATCACCTCCTTGCACAACTGTTGACCTAGAAACAGTGCTTTCCCTAAATAGTACTGAACCCTAGACCCTTCATGGGTTGTAGTGCCACAGGGATTTTTTTTTCACATTGTTGCAACTAACGGAAAAAATATATTTGTTTATGAAAATATACAATAATTTAATTTTTTTTTTTAAATAAATTCATCTAGGCTAGAACTCTATGAGCTCTATAAGTTCGAGGTTTAAAGGCTATAGAGCCCCGAGCATTCACGACTCGAGTCGGAGCTAGAGGCTTGTTTTTACAACACTAAGTTGGAACGACAAAATGCAATTTAAAAAATAAAATGTAATTATAATTTAATCAAATAAAATATCAGACATACAGCATGTTCGATGATATCCTTGCTATCCCCACTAAAACCGGTGTCTTTCTTAGAAAAGCTAAGCTCATCCCTGAGACGATCCAGAGCAAAAGTAAGCTTCGAAAGAGGCACTCCATTCCTAAAGTAGTAGAGCAGCAGGAACGCAACTGCATTCGTAGACATTACAGCTGTGCTCTGCATACAATCTGTGATGACAAAGGTATAAGTAACAGGTTCTGGCAAAATCCTATCATAATAGCAACCTAAAGATAATTAAACTTACCGTATAAGATATGCCTTGTGATGCTGTCTACAAGTTGCCTTTGTTCCTCGTGGATGATGTCTGTGCCGTACAGAGATGCCGAGGACGGGGCTATATGAAATGAACCGCTTTTGTTCATTACTTTATTCTGGAATGATCTCACCAACTCCTAAAGCATGGCATATTTATTAAATGTCTTATTATATTTAATATTTTTTTCACTAACCTTAAGTATATTTTTCCTATATAATAATCTACTATGTTAACTATGACTAAATGTACACTGACAGGCAAAAAATTCCACCCACTTGATTTTTTCATCTAAAAATATTTCTGCTTTGGATTAGTCTATTGTTTTTAATGAATAAATAGGGAATCTTTTTATTTGTTTTCAATTAGGAATGTTAATATAGAGGACAATAACCCTTAATCCTTAATTCAATGAAATGATTCTAGATTCCAATGTTTACTTTCTATGGAATCAAAATGTTTATTCAGTATCATTAGTTCAGTACCGTTTCTTGCAGCACATTTCTTAGTCTCCGGCTTTTAATTTTTTCAATATTAAGTTTAAAAATGGCTCTTAGTGCTGAGGATGTTGCGCGTGGTGTGGCACTTATTGATGATGGACGTTCCATTAGATATGTAGCTAATGCCATCGGAGTTCCATATGAAACTTTACGAGACGCCGTCAGGCGTTTTCGGGAAACTGGTTCTGGCCCGGTTCTGGACGGCCTAGGGTAACAGAACCACGGGATGACCGGTTTTTGACTTTGAGAATTTTACGAAACCGGCACCTTACCGTTGTTCAAGCAATTCATCAGCTCGAAGAAGTTCGAGGTGTGCAAATTTCTGAACGTACCGCTCGGAGAAGATTAAAGAGCATAGATTAATAGCTTTTCGTCCAGTAAGAGGACCAGAACTCACAGAGTAACACGGCTGGCTTTTGCTCGAGAACACAGCGATTGGACTATGGACGAATAGAGTGCTGTACTTTTTACAGATGAGTCAAGATTCTCTCTTCGATCTCCAGACGGGCGTGAAAGGGTGTGGAGAAGAAGAAACGAAAGATATGCAGCCTGTAATTTTTCCCAGAGCCAACCTTTCCAACGTGGTTCCTTAATGGGTAACAAGTGCGTGGAATTTTTTGCCTGTCAGAGTGTAAATAAATAAATAATAATAATATAACTATATTCGTTTACAAGTAAAAAATACAATGAGCTCACATGTAACGAGAACGGCTGATTGAAGTCAACTCTCACGAGGCCATAGTGGCTGGTGATTGCGGTCCAGATCCCTTTCAGGGCGGACATAAGGGTTTCTGGTTTTTTGGGCTCACCAGTCAGTTCAGTGACAAAGTTTCCTTCGACAATTTTGTCGTAGTTGACAGACACAGGGACTAGGAGAGCGTCTTCCAAGATTCCAGAAAGATAAGCATCAACAAAAACAGACATTAGACCACCTGAAATTGTAAATTATATTATAGTAAAATAATCAATAAATTATAACAAAGCAATTCGATAAAACTTATTATCAATGAAAAAATTCATTCAAGTAATTATTTTTTTAAACTATCAGTTTTACTGTTTTTCAAATGGCACTTAAAATAATAACAATAACCAATACTCTAAAGAAGATAGACATCAAGAATAGGGATTGATATTATTGCTATGTATTGAACATAGCCTAATGATAAGTAATAACATTTAAAAATAATTTCTAACACCTGGGCGGGTACCTGAAACCCCCGACCCAACCTTTTGTAAGTGGCAAGAAAACAAGTAGGAACCCCAAAGGACCGACACCCAAGAACCGTCATAATTACGTGGGAAAGTGGTTACCTAGATAGTGGTACGGATACCTGAGACCCAGAAACCTTTGAGCAGGGACTAAAGCACTGTAGGCCAACGGCGGTCAAAAACAGCAAAGGACCAGTCTTGTGTTTAAAGAGGACAAAAAAGCTTTGAAGCTTAAGCAAAGGAAGAAACGGTCGTGTACCTGCTAAAAGGGGTGTGTTCAACATAACATTGGGGGTGTGGTCATCCCTTCTGCTACACAACTCCAACCAATAGTAACCATGCTTGCCCCACCCTAGATATGGAAAACAAGATCTACTGAGGGAGATAGAGAAAAAAAGGGAGGACACTTCTTCTTGGAAGGCAGCTGAAGACACTTCTTCTTGGGGCTCCGCGGAGAAGACACTTCTTTATGGGACTCAGCTGAGGACAGCTGGATGAGGAGAGGCTGGTAGAAGAGAGGCCTGATGGACTGCCCGGCACTGAGGAGGTCCCTGATGTTTTCTTCCAACTTGGAGACTGAAGCCTTTGCCCTACCTGATCCATGTCCAGATGATCTCGACTTATTAGATAAGTAATCCCCAACAATTCCTTTTTAAAGATGTATAAATATTTAATGGCAATGTAATTTTAAATTCCATCCATCTGAATCATGCCTTCACAACCAATTGTACAGTTCATTAGTTTTTGTAAATATAATGTATATAACATTACATTCTTTCTCATCACTTGTAAATAAATATAATTTGTACATAAAAGTTATTTTAATCATGCCACCTATTTCTTTCATTATAAGCACAGGTAATGTTTGGTAATTAGAGAACAGATAAACACACAACAAGCCTTTGTGAGAAGTAATCCAATAAATTAATCAAGGACCAATATGTCAAATGACATAATTTGTTTAGCAAATATTTTTATTAATTAATTCTGGATAATAATCTTCAATAATTACCAGTGGCATCCCGTATATAAAAATCCCGTTATCAAAAACTACTAATAAACCCATGTGATACGTAGCATTATATTTAAACACATTATAGTATTTTAAACAATTTTGAGGAGGTTAAGTTTTTGAATTTTTCGGTCGATTACAATGGTTCATTATAGAAAATAATAAACCAAAATGTTATGGGCCAAGATATAAAAAGTCAAAGTAAGATTGTTAGTGAAAAAAATAGCTCGATAACTTTTTAGTTTAGCAAGCTTTAATTCCATATTAACTAAATTGAAATTTGTTTTAGAATAAGTTGAGAATCATCTCTAGTTGTGAAAAAAAAAATTATGATTTGATATTCGGTCATCCACAAGTACCTGTGTTTTCAACCAAAATAGCTATAATAGGTTACTGCAAAGATTTAATTTTTTTTTTTTTTCATGACCTGGTATGTATTATGATAAACGTATATACGAAAATAAACTTTTTATTTATAAAAAAAAATGCTAGTAATACTGCTTTTCAAATATTTATCACATAAAGTGATAATGTAACAGTTTTTTTTATTTAGAACTTCATTAAGTGAATCAATCCTTATTGTATTAAGTAACCAACTAAGTATTTCTGATCCTAATATTTATATTTTCATGAATATAATTCGTTCAATTGTAGAGTTTCATTTTTTCATAAATGTTAATTAATTATAATAAATTATCCTATTTATAAACTTAAAATTGCTATATTGTGCCCCTCTGATAATTAAAATTATCTGTACCTTTGGGCATGCATGGTTTGCCAGTTCTGGTTCTGCCACCTTCGATGAAAAACTCAAAATAATGTCCAGCTTGCATGCACTGAGTCATATAGTTATGGAGTATAGCACGATACAACTTGTCTTTCTTTCCTGCTACTGGATCCATTCTACGTTTGATGTAGAAAGCACCCAAACCAGTAAGAAGTTTCCTTTAAAACAAAAAAAAAAATAAAATAAAATTATCAAACTTACAGATGATAAAGAAAAGTGGCAATAAATAAGGAATCGAACATAGATAACCTTACCCAAAGATCGGTATCCTGAGATTTTCTCCAGCAGCTACTAGAGGCGCTCTAATACCGCTGTTGCACAACGTAAATGTCACCGCTATATAGTCCACATGTGATCTATGAAGTGGAAGGAAAATGAGAGGTAGGCCTGTTGAAGCAGCCTTCCGAAGCATTTCTATCTGCCCTTGAGGAATTGACATGCTGGTAAAAAGCAATGGCAATGTTTTGTAGAACACCCATGAGCCAATCCTAAATTTCAAAAATAAAAAAATATTAATAATAAAAGTAATTAGTTACTTTAATTAGTAATCTAACTAAGAAATCAAGTGAGACTTTATATTATACATTAGTAATTGTACTTATATTGCTAGATAAGCTCTAAGAAAGAACTTAACTTGATTCACTATCCATACAGCTCAAGAGGAACATTTTTTAACCTACCAACGCAATCCTTCTTATCACAAATTTATCTCTATAAATATCTGTAATTAATGGATTCTAAGAAATTTTTGCATTTGGTTAATATAATGAAATGAAATGAAAATAAATTTGTATTATCCTATTAAAATAAAAATATTGGATGAAAAATAAAACAAAACCACTAAATACATACATATATATACAATACAAACATGTGAAAATAAAATAACATGATTAAACAAAACCATTTTTGGGGGAACTTAAAAAGTTCTCTTATCTACTTTTCATGTTCAATCGGGTTGGGAAAGAAGTAGGTGCTTAAAAAGAAGAGATTAAAATGAGGAAACTGATAGCGCATGACGGATATCGGGAGGGATGGTATTTCAGGTGGAGACGGCTTGAATTATAAAGGATTTGTCAAATGCAGCAGTTCGGTGAGGAGGTGGATAGAAGTCAGAAGTACGGGATCCAGTGGGACGGGATGGAATGGAATATTTAAATTGTAGGCTGTAAAAAATATAAGAAGGTTGCTGAGTACTGATGGCTTGGTATAGAAAGGTAGCAAGGAAGTTTAAACGGCAGTTGGATGGATAGAGCCACTTCAACTTGGTGTAATAATGGGTTATATGCGTATCTCTTGAGATTCCGAAAACAAAATGTATTGCGCAGTTCATCAGGCATTTAAGTTTGGCCTCGAATTCTCCCGAGAGTCCGCCGTAGACCAGACAGCCATAGTCGAAGTGGGGGAACACAAGGGAGGAAACCAGGAGTTGTCGGAGTTTACATGGAAGGAGATAGCGGAGACGGTTAAACTGTTTCAGGGTAGAGATAGTACGAGCGAATGTAGCACGAAATTTAAGAAAAGAAGGAAACGGAGGGCGATAAATGGGCCAAAAGTTACCAAATATTCCTCAAGGATGTCAGTGATGTACGTGAGCATAGAGTCAGCCTTCAGAACACATACAGAGAGGTCTGTATTTGACTTTTATCACATTCAACACCAAACATCACTGACCCTCCTCCCAACTGTACTCTTCGCGCTATATCGGTTACTTGGTCTTATTCACACTAGAACTCGCCAGTCAACACCATAAAGGCTATACATCGACTCCTCAGAAAAAATAACAGAAGTTACGTGTTATTATCATCTTTTGTCGAGGCAGTATCTTCAAGTAAAGGCAAGTGTCTTGGTGTGTTATGGTTCGAAGAGAACCGCAAACCTTCTTACTGTGTGCCCACTGGTATACCAACGTGAGCAATAAGCAATCAATGAGAAGTCTCAACTGAAATCTGGTAATGGTTTTTGAGGGCCTGCATAGCCATGAAGCAGTTATCAGCTGGACCTGACGTTCTTGGATGGCCTTCCTGTCTCCTGGTACCTCTGGACTGGCCGCCAACCAAATCATTTTTTCAGGCAGCCATTGAACTGAAGCTGTGTATCACTTACCTCGGCCATTTTCAATTAACGTAGTTATCTGTGCGATTGCCACAGGATCCAAAACCATTTTACACTCTTAAAATGTTTGATGTAAATGAAACATTGTCTTTCAAGAAAAAAAAAAACGACAGAAAAGCAAAACTAATACGACTGAACAGGAAACTAGGGACAAACTGATATTTTATTGTTTATCGTATAACCACACATTTTATTGTAACACTTTTATCGTTAATCCTAGAAAATTTTCAATTAACTTAGTTATCTGTGCGATTGCCACAGGATCCAAAACCATTTTACACTCTTAAAATGTTGGATGTAAACGAAACATTGTCTTTCAAGAAAAAAAAAAACGACAGAAAAGCAAAACTAATACGACTGAACAGGAAACTAGGGGCAAACTGATATTTTATTGGTTATCGTATAAGCACACATTTTATTGTAACACTTTTATCGTTAATCCTAGAAATAATCATGAGTTTTTTTTCAAAAGGATCATTGCATGGTAATCCCGTTTGACCTGTCAGGTACCTGTTATTACTTTAGGATTGTAACTATCTTAAATATGCGGTTTCTATGTACAATTGAAGGTGCACTGGTTTTTTTGACCACCAGTTTATATAGCGCTTTCTTAAAAAATTACAATTATTGTTTTTTTCAAAACAACTGGCAATTTTATTTGCAATTACAATACAAAATTTAATAAATATAAATTTAAATAATAATTACCTTAGAACAAGATCAGATAATTTTGAATGCATATGAGTAAGTATTGCAGCAGCGCGTTTCGTCTGTCTTTCAACAAACTTTTCAATGCCATCTGGATCTGTGATTCCATTTTCGAATGCTTCTTCGGATGCAGTATTTTCAACCATCTGTTGAACACTCTCATCCTTCAATACCTATAAATTGTATAAAAAATTAATTAACAATTTTTTATTTAAAAACTGGATGGCATCTATCTGGATCATATGTAGTATTTAATATCAGTTTTTAACTAAAATAAATTTTTGTTTGTTGCACATTTTAATATTTATCAACCTTTCATTGACACTAATATGAGGATACAGTCTGTGTGTCACTGATTTCAACCAATTTTTTTTTTTTTTGGTGATACTACATTGAAAAATATTACACATATTCTGGCGTTCATTCCAATGGGCCCTAGGAGCCGAGAAAAAAATATTTTATATAATTTCTAACAAAATAAATGTTATTTATTTTTATAAATCAATTTCTTTCTTTTTTTGTGCACCCACAATCTGTATTCTCTCTCCCCTTGTAAGTGCAACATTATACTAAAAACATGAAATTAATAATAAAAAAAAAGGTAAATAAATTTAACTGATTTCATATTTTATAAAGCTATAATGTTATATAATAGAGATAAATGAACACATACCGAATCATAAATATAAGGGTATTCATATTTCTTAAATGTTGAACAATGCCTGATGACAGGAAATATGGAACCTAAAATCCCACGACGCCTGATTTTTCCTAATGTTTCCACCCGCAGCAAATCAACAATTGGGAAATGCTCATTGCCAATTCCTCCATTCTTCTGTAAACCATTAATTATAGTAATAAGTATAAAATTAATAAGAATAATTATACTGTTATTAATATAGTACTAAAGGCCTAAAGGCTATTAGATGGAGAATAATGTTAATATTATACACTTGATAACTTACAATCACCACTTTCTCATTTTGTTGAACTAATTCTAATAATTCTGAAATAAACTAAATTGGAATATAGTAAAAAAAATTATTTATTGTCTATACTTCTATTTAGTATTATCATATGAAACAACAGTCTTGATAGTGAAATTTATCAATTATATCTCAATACAATAACATTTAATGAATGAACTAATTATTACTTAGTATCAGAATAAATAAATAGCAGTCAAACAGGATATGTTGATAAATTGATAAGATTAGAACACATCCATTCATATATTATTAATTCTATAACGAAACATTTACATTGATAAAATCAGACGTTATACCTGAAAACAGTATTTTTAAATTACAACTTCAAAAGAAATAACATTATACATACCAAGTTTCATGGCTTATATAAGTTCTTATTTACTTAAAAAAAAAAAAAACATAAAATTAATGGAATGATATATGAATGAATGTATGATATGATAGATAAAATATTATTAAAAAATAATTAATAAATAAATAGATCAATAGGAAAGTTTAACAAATCACCAGGCATAAACACCAACCCCTCACACCAAAGAACATCCCAGGAATCTAACTTTAATGCAGAGCTAGTCTATATTTAAACTGTTCCGTGATCAAAATAAGTTTAAAACCTATTAAAGTCCTTTAAATTACTGTTTTATATTGTACTTAATGGTAGGTAAATATTAAGTTATTTTATATCAAGGAATCTAAAATCCTAAGTCTCTTATTAATAACAAGTTCTATAACAAGTTTAACAACTATTCATAAAGGATAAAACTGTTTTAGAAAATGCTAAAAGAATTATATTAATTTAATTCAAGTAAAAAGAAATAAAAATCAATCATAATTATAATTATTAAATATACCTTCGTTAATTTAAAATCATAATATAAGTTTCAAAAGTTTATAATATTAATATTCTCTATTATATATAAAGTGTATTAATTACTAAAGATATTATCAATTAAATTATTTTATTTATTTTTTAATAAAAGAGATATAGCTCTATACAAACATTTCTCATAATAAAACCTTAAGTTTACCCAATTTTCACATGCATACAAATGAGAAATAAGATGATTTGTGAAATTAGCTTTTTTACCCCTCTAACACTTATAAATATTTAACATAACCGAATAATGACCACTTACTTGAATAAAATATGATCGGAAAAATTAATATTTAGGTTATGTGAATGTATAACTTCTATTATGAGAAGGAGTTAATCGGGGGGTGCGGTCAAATAAATACTAAATTAAAATATAGTAATTATTTTAATTTTTGCCTAAACAGGCAAAACTTAAAATAATTACTATATTTTAATTTAGTATTTATTTGACCGCACCTCCCGATTAACTCCTTCTCATATTATATCAACGGTCAACCATCTCTACATCATTATAACTTCTATTATATTATATATTATGCCAACTGATAACATGATGATGAAAATTCAGAAACCCTCGTTAGTTTAATATCTTTAAAGAGATATTAAGCCATAAATTTAGTTCAGGAAAAAATTATAAATGAACTATTGAATGAAAAAGTGGTTCAAGTCAAAAACAAAAATATTTAACACTTACATGTAAGTTATATGAAGGTAGGTAAAGAGTAATAATAAAGAATTTCTTGGTAAGTCTTGCTTACGTATTAGTAGAATTGCAAGAGTTTATCATAGCGATAATTTGGAAACGTCAAAAAATAGGCCACTGTCTGATTTGAAAGATTGTGGGGAGATGATGTTATATAAAATGTTTCCTAAACCTCGCTAACACCATTTTAACATCTAATAGTTCATATAAAAAACAATCTCTGTTTAGATACAAAAAGATTTTTAAATTTTTTTAAACAGGTGCTAATATGAAAATAACTTCAGACAGTTCATGATACACCTAATAAAACCGAAAAGGAGTTTTATTTCTAATTTGTATGTTTTTCCTGCTCACTAACATTACTTTATTCCTAAAGAACGATTTTGTATGTTATTTACAAATAGGATATGTCTTGAAAACTTTTAAAATCCTGACTTATTGCAATATCTCAGTTTCCTATAACAATTAGCGGTTTTTAATAAACATCTTTAGGTTTTAGGAAGGTATAATATGTGAATTTGTTATTATGGATTTCTGCCATTGACTTGTGAGGCCATTATCAAACTAGAAATAATCTTATTTTAGTTTTAAGGAAGGAGATGGTCCGGGGTGCCAGTCATAAATAGACTAAATATATAAACAAAACTATTTTATTAAAAGCCAACATTTCGACACGACTTTGCAGGTCTTCTTCAGGGCTAGAACGGACAAGATACAAAAAGATAGAGAATTGTGGAAGTTAAATCATATTTAGATAAAAAATTATAAATAATGTGGATAAACTTATTAAAATGATAAACAGTAAGCACACTAAAATATTAACAAGAACAATAAGTTGTATAAACAATGTAAGCTAAATAACAGGATCCTAAACTGAAGTAAATAGATGATAACAATGATTTTATGATAACATAAAGCCACATCCCTTTATATCCATTATTTCATATTATATCCTTTTTTCTTTTCTTCTAATCTCTCCTGTAGATCTGTAGGAGTATATTCACAATTGCATATATCATATTATATATTATATTACAACAATTGTTACCATCTATTTACTTTAATTTAGGATCCAGTTACTTAGTAATCTGTTTATACAACTTATTGTTCTTGTTAATATTTTAATGTACTTACTGTTTATAATTTTAATAAGTTTATTCACATTATTTATAATTTTTTATCTAAATATGATGTAACTTCCACTATTCTCTAAATCTTTTTGTATCTTCTCCGTTCTAGCCCTGAAGAAGACCTGCAAAGTCGTGTCGAAATGTTGGAATTTAATAAAATAGTTTTGCCACTATATAGTATATTTATGACTGCCACCCCGGACCACCTCCTTCCTTAATAATACAACAGTCAACTATTATGTATTCACTATTTTAGTTTTAATTTTTTTCAAGAAGTATGCAAAATATTAAGTGTTTTCCATATTAGTAAAATTAGTAAAAAACAAAACCATGCAAATTATAGGATATATCAAATCAAATAAAAACTACTGTTACACTATTAATGACCCATTGTACACACTGTTATCGTCGGTAACAAATGGATCCCTAATACTTGACACTCCAAAGCTTAATTGATAAACAATTATACATTATCATACTGTACTTAAAAAGTTTCTAAGATTAACAAAACAAGTGAAAAATGTGAAAGAAGAAACAAATACAAAGCAAGCAAAACAATGCATAAGATCCATATGGAATAAGTTGTATTGATATTAATTAAAATAACAATTTTTTTTTAAATATATATATTACTAAAACTGAATATAGAAGTTATCCTTTGAATGTTTTTCATAATCAGTACAATAAATATGAGGTGTGGAATTCCAAAACCAGTCAATTTTTTTTTTTTTTTTTTTTTTTTTTTTTTAAGAGCATACAATTAATTGTAATACTAGTTTTATTTTTCATTTCTAAGATATTTTTTTATCCCAACTTTACTTAAGTTGATGTTTTGAACTATTCATTCATCTTCATGACCTTTTACTTCATTTTATAATATTTTATTAATGTAATAGGTTTATTTATTTTTCATAAACTGTGCAACTATGAGACAGTTTTGATAAATTCCTTAATAGTCGTGTTTTTGTGTTGTTTGTTTTTGTTTCTTTGTGTGTTATGTGTTTTTTATCGAATTATTAACATCCACCTGAAACTTCGTAAATAGTTTCATCTCATCGTAACCTACAACTATTTTATTTACAAAAACTCTTGGAATTGGAGAGTTTTCAATCTGGAGGGAAGCAAACTTTGTATATTTAATTAGGTATTAAAAACTCGTAAATACCCATTTGCTTTTTACTTGAATCGTAAGATAAAATGATCACAAAGTCGATAAAAAAGGTGGCCTACAAAAATATTGGACCATTTGTCCTAAATATCCTCGTTATTATGAAAATTTGAGGGTGAAGGTCATGCTAAACGGCTCAATATTTTTGAAGGCCACCTTTTTTATCAACTTTGTGATCAAATTATCTTACGATCCAAGTAGAAAGCAAATGTGTATTTACCATTTTTTTAGTACCTAATTAAATAGACAAAATTAAATTTGCCCCCGCCCGATTGAAAACGCCCCAATTCCAAGAGTTTTCGTAAATATAATAGTTGTAGGTTATGATGAGATAAAAATCGGTGCAAACACAAATTATAAGCTGTGTCCAGCAGTTTCACTAGCATAAAATTTGAATTATTGTTGCCAGTTTTATTGGCATGATGAACAAAGTCCAAGTACACCATTCAAATAAATAAAATCTAAAATGTATATGAAAAAAATGACAACATGATGTTTAGACTTTTGTTTAATATTCTATGCAAATTCAAAATTCTAAACAAAATAAGATGTAACACTTCTGCCCAAAAACGATAAATTTATTACATAAATAAAACACTAGGTCATGAAAATGGATAAACATTCAAAAACGTCGACCTAAATAAAGTAAACAGAATTTGTAAGGGTTAAAAAATAATAGGGTGTAGAACAAAAATGAACGTTTTATCAAATTTAAGATTTCAAAGGACTTGATATATTTTAACCCTATTTAATATTTACCAATACTTAATAATCCCTTCAGAGCATTCTCTAAGATTGTTTAATCCTATTCGATTTCTTCAAAAAAAGCCTCAGATTAATTACATGTTTCAAAGAAGAAACATGACAGTGTTCTATGAGAATTTTAAGGCATTACTGAAAAAAAAAAAAATTCACAGCCTCTCAGGCAACTTGCGAAATTATTAAATATGGAGGGAATGGTGTCCTTGACTAAACCAATGCACAGCATTGGTTTGAAAAATTTAGCAGTGTAGATATGACGTTGGAAAGAAGAAGGGCTCCAGGCGACCATTAATGGATATTTATGAGGTTCTGCAGGAAGCTGAGTCAAATCCGTCCACAAGTACTCGGGAACTTGCCAGGGAGTGTGTCGAAGATCGAACGATACTGTTAGTCGCCATCTACTCTCCCTGGGGAAGGTGAAAAAGAGCAGCAGACTGTTCCCGCACGAACTTACTCCTCAGCAATCAACTGAGAGTTTAGAAATTTGTGAAAATTTATTGAAAACTTGCCTGAAAAATTCCTACCTCATCTACCATGTGAATAAACAATCTAGTTTAACTGCTAACTCCATTTTACTATTACTGTTATTTTTTTTTAATTAACAGTTTTGATACTAGATTATGATGAAGTATAGTAAATTCTTCCAAAAACGTTTGATAACATGTGATTTAACTGTTTTAAAAAGAAATTTGTTTACCTCATCATATTACTATATAAGCTGATGATTAAAAAAAAAAATAGCAAAATAGAATTGACCAGTTTTAGAACTCTACCCCTCACATTCATAATTGATAAAAAATTAACTTATCCAACTCTTATGCATTAGTTATAACACAAAATTGCAACTAACATGCGCTTACCCTACTTCGTGGACAACAATCATTACAAGACAATCCCATAAGAGGCCTCTTTTCCTGCTCCAGAATCATATTCCATGGAGTCTCTTTTAATGAATATAAAGCAGATTCAAATGAATGTACCGATAAACTCTTAGCCTGTGCTATTTGCTCCCTTTTCCGCAGCTGGTATTGCGTCAGTTGATGATGTAACGAAGATGAACTTTGTTTGAGGCTACCATTATAGCTCGGAGTCGAGCATGCCTCGTACAGCTTTGTGGACATCAGCTCCATCATCGCCATCACTCTGAAATTAGGTAAAACCGTAAATTACTAATTTGATTTTACAAATAAATTTTAAAAAATCATTCAAATTGTTAAATTTCATAAACTATGGAACAATATTGATAAATTCCTACATATTTTCTTAGTAGTTCTATAAACTATGAGACAATTTTCATTAATTCCTAAATAGGTGTTCGATACCTACATAAATTATTAGCTATCCCCAGCAGGTTCACTAACATTAAATTTCAATAATTCATACCAGTTTTATTGGCATGATGAACCAAGACCAAGTGAATTAAATAAATAACACCTAAAATTTATTTTAAAAAATTACAACAGAATACTTCATGGTTCTGTAATGTGGTTTGAACTTTTTAAAGAAAACTTGTAATATCTTGGCTTAAAAAATATTAGGTTCTTTCACCCTGTGCATGGCTATTCTACATAATCTATACAAGCCAACACATAGTCGTTCACAGGAAAAACATTTCTTTTCTAATACGCTTAAAATTTTGAGTCAGAACTTAGTTATGGAGAAACAATATTTGTAGAAAGCGAAGCTAATGTACTTGCTTATATTTTGCCTGTTCCATTCTTTCATAAAGTCATAAAGTGATTTTATAAAATCTTCTTCAATAAATGGTCTATAAAACAAAAAACATTTTTTCAAACCAAACTGGCAGTTCCTGGTATCAATATCCAATAAAAATCTATTAACACATAATACTGTTAAAGTAATAGCAGAAATTATGATTGTTAGGAAATAAAAGATAATCATCACAATTTACTTCCAGAATGTTATTATCAACACATCTCAAAATATTAGTAACATATAATATACTTAACAGAGAAGAAATCAGAACGGAATCGGAGTAAATTCGAGACAAAATAGGTACTGACCTAATATAGGAAAATATGAATAAAGAACAAATTAGATGAACCATAGAACAAAGGGGAAATAAAAAATTTAAATATACCAGAAAATATACTGGATATAGTACAGAAGGATTAAATAAAAAGTATCATAATTTAAGTATCTTAAAATAGATAAAAATAATTATGGTACTAGTTGACGAGAGTTCCACACGGAATAGGCATCAAATCACTTCATACTTGTTCATGGAATGGCGAAAGTACCTGAGTTTATCAAAAAGAATACAAAGTTGACTGATCTCATAAGTCACAAAAATGATTTATTCGCAATGAAGACCTATTTCCAATGAACATAGGCCATTCTGTTGGATTGCAGTGAATGTCTCCAGCGCACCCACACCCCACTGGAGTTTTCAAAAATACGGAGAGGGAAATGGATGGTTGGGTAAGACTGTTTTCAGTAATCCAAGAACAAGTGTGACCGAAGCGATTGTGAACCACACCTAATTTATGTTGAACGTTGAACTTAATGTAAATATTAAGTAAGACAATAGAAAAATTCACAAGAAAACTTTATTCATACCTATTTATTTAGAACAGAAAAAAATCAACTGCAGACATGTAGTAAGACAGTTACAGATCTTGCCTAAGTAATTGCTAATTTGATTCGATAGCGGCACAAATTAAAAGTAAATATTGAGTTTGGATAAATTCAAAATTGGACTGATTTCTAAGATAGTTGTTTTGTAATAGAAAGCAGCTGTATCATCGATCTGTACAGAATATTTCATAGATAAAAGACATTTATTTCATGGTGATGATAAGACTTTTTTAAGTTGTGCCACCATCAAAGCAAAGCAGCGAAATGAATATTATAACAGGCAAACTTAAATTCAAAATTATAAAAAGATATATTTCGTTTAGAAAACTTTAATTCGAGAAATCAAATCAGTTCTGCAATAAACATGGCTAAATATTTGATAACACCAAAGTTTAAAAGAAAAATTGATATGATATGATGAAATATGTAGAAAAACATATTCAAAATTATTATTTGAATGGAATACATGCAACGTCACATTACCTAGTTATCTAAAAATGTAAATATAATGAAAATAATCAGGGAGAGAAAGCTGTCCTCTCATCTCCAACAAATTAACAACGGTGAGGTTCTCGCTAGTGTTACCCCAAGTTCAGGTTACTACGATTTAAATTTGCATCAGCTCTCATCAAAGGATCACGCCATTTCATTACATAATACATCTTTGGTTCACAATATATATATATATATATATATATATATATATATATATATATATCTCGCTTTCTTTTGCATAAATTTCATTAATTTTTTGCGTATCAGAGATGAATTTTATCATTACAACAACCCAGCTTTGAACCTTGACGAATGGTAATTTATGTATTATAGTATTTAAGATCTGTATAATTATAATTTACAGATCTCATGATTAAAAATAAATTATAATTTTATTAAATATAACCTTTTAACGAGAAACTAAGAGCTCGTAAAATATTCTTCAAATATACTAATCTAGCAATCATGTGTTTCTTACAGTTTACCCGATTTAACAGTTGGTAGTGATTTGATGTTTAAAAGTATATTAAAGGATTTATTATTTGAAGTCTATTAATTTTAAAGTTTTTTTATTACTGATGGTTGCTTAGTACAAATTTAGAATATCGATGTACAAAGAAGAACAATACTTAGATAGAAGAAACATTACTTAAATCCTAAGGTCAGTATTAACTACTACAAAATATCGTTACTTTGTAAGAAAACCAACACTACTAAATTAACTCTTAATAGTTTGTTAAAGTAATACATAGGTCAAATTTTAATAAAATGTTTCAACTTTTGATTTATTTCGGTTTTCATCCTTAGTAGCTTTTTATATAAACAAGATTCTTTATAATAAATATGATAAACCATAGGTACTTGTTGGAGAACTTATCGAAGAAAAACCAAATCGTCAGTTTTCACAACTTTTTATATAATATAAAAATGAGCTTATATAATTTCCTAAAACATGTTAACTTTGTGGAACATAATATTCGTTTAATTTATTTATTAATGCAATAAAGAGATGACATGTTAAGGATTTTTTAAATGTTATTTATCGATATTTGAAATATATAGTATAGCATCGTGAAAAATTTCAAGTTAGTTTTTTCAACGAAAATACGAGTTTTGAGCCCCGCTGACTTCAAATAATTAAGTTTGCGAAGTTGCCGCCACTGGCTGGTGTACCTGTTTTGTTGTGTGTATGTGAACAGCCATTCTCAAAAATAAAAAGTCTTATGCAACTGAAACAATATTTAAATAATTTCATTTAATAATTTAAGGTAGATATATACCTGGTTAAAGCAACTGTTTTGTCAAAATCAACCGGAAATAGCACTTTATATATTCGATTTTACAATGTTCTCGAAAAAAGTTAAAACGATTTTGATTAAACTTGTTTCATTAATGTTAAATAAAACGACCTTTGAAGATTAAGTAAAACAATTAAGGGGTTTTCAATAAAAAATGGTTATTAATCTCATTGTACAGGTTTTGAATGTCGAATTTTCAAAACTTTTCCTCTCATTTTCCATTTTTTTTTGCTTCCTCACTATCGAAGGTAGGGGAAGCTTTGTATTCGTGCGAGAGGCTAAAAAAATTTTGTGCTCAGAACCGAAAAAAATCACTCGCGTTTTATGTTTCGGACATCAAGGATCAAATATGGTTCGATGTCTGTCTGTAGTCAAATCGATGTAACGGGCATATCATCTACTACCGTTTATCCGATTTTCATGAAATTTTCAGAAATTGTGTGATCTGGCGTCTAGATGGTCCCATATCAATTTTATCAAAATCCATCCAGCAATTTCGCTTGCGCACGCGTAAATGTATTTTCTTGGATATACCAGCATTTCAGAAACGGCTCGTTCAATTTGGCTTAAAGTTGGAAAAAAGGTAGGTATCCCAGGTATAAAAAAAATAATGTAGTGTCAATTTTATTCAATTATGTCCTCTACTTTCTCTTATATATGCGCAAATGTATTTTCCTCGATACGTCTATAACTCGCCTATAAAACCGCACGTTTGATTCGGCTGCAATTTGGAGTGAAGTTAGGGATTGGTAAACAGATAATCGAGAATGTATCGATTTTATCAAATTCTATCCACTATTTTCAAAAAAATTCTTCCTCTTTCAGATCAGTATTATTTGACACGCCTATAGTTTGAAAACGATTCATTCGATTTGACCCAAACTTGGAGGAAATTTGCAGAATAGTATAGAAATTACCTAATATTAATTTCATTCAGTTCCATTTAATAATTAAAATTTTTAAAAATAATTGTTAACAATATAATGGCTGTGAAATGTGGAAAGTATTTATCATATGGGGAGTTAGGTTAATACAATATTTTTATGAGGCTATAAAGTTTTAGGTTTTATTCAAAAAATTAATTTATTCTATATTGTTTGGTCGATTCCAAACGTTACTGGCATGACACTTAGATTTCGTGTGATTTTCCATTAATTTAAACTAATTGTTACTCTGAGTTGGTAAAAAAAAAAAGCCTTATTTGTGATTGTGGTTATTTCCATTGAAGTTTAACCAGTTCGTCATGGTGTCGATAATCTCCTTAAATATCAAAGATGTGTGAACTTCACACATATTTTTATATTCCAGCATAATTAGTTTTGTTCTGACTGAAGAAAAGTATTGGTCTCGTTAACTCCGAACGAACAATAAGTTTATTTTTTCCTATGGATTTTTCGTTCCATCCATTTTACGAGTGAAAACATGTCTATTAAGTATATATCACTACTGTAAAAGGTGTTAGGTAAAAGTTTTAAATTTGTATTCTATTTTTGACAATATGTAGTCTACCATTGATATAATTAGTCTACTACTATGGAAAATAGCACCTCCTGGAATGACCGCACCCCCTGACCAACTCCTTCTCATATTATATCACGGTCAACCATCTCTACATCATTATAAAATTATACTAATAAATCATAAAGAAATAATTATTTTTTATGCTCTTCTGTAAAAAATTTAATTTTTACATACGACCTTTTGCACTAACAGTAGCTATTTGCATATCCAGTATGCACTGGAATTATAAAC